TAGAGCCATGCAAACATAACAATTCGGGAATGCTTTTATTAGGGGGTGGTTTTCGCATCTATTCTATTTAATTTATATTTCGGAATTGCTTAAACAACAATTATGATTAAGTATTAATCCAATTTTGATTTCATGTCCTTATAATAAAAAAGCACTTCTTTTTCAGACAAGGTGCGCATCTATTTTAGTTTTTTTTTAAATATGCTTTAGAAACTTGACCCCATGCGTCAAACTAAAGTCCACAGGCTGTAAGATATTATAGCAGTTCTCTTCTTATATTTGAGTGTTAAAGTTTCGAAGAAATTCTTTTACAAAATTTACAAGGGGAGAAACATCAGCAAGTTTTTGAGTAAAATTCCTTAAGAGCAGTTCAAGGATACTTAATATAAGTAGAAGTTGGCGGCACTACTAACGTATATTTAACAACTTATTAAGCATAGTGCTCAGCGCTTCCTATACTCTTAATTTGAGTTTAGTTTCTAAATTTGCTAATTTCAGTTCAGTATTTGTTGAAATTCGTTTTACTTTATTATCTTTGGTAAATTATTAATTTATTTATAGCCATAAATTGTGAGAAGATGTTTATTCAGTATACGGCAGGTATATGCATTTGGGTTGATTTATTTTCAATTTCTCTATGATATTGAAATAGTTGAGTTGTCGTGGAACTTTACAGGTTTGGAATTTTAATTTATGCGAAATTGTTTAGCAAGAAATTAATTAATTTTAATTCATTTTTGATAAATGCCCACAGTTTGAGATATTTTTGGTAGATTTTAACAGTAACATGATGTGATGAGAACGATGAAGTATAAAGTCACAGTAGAATAATTATACAAAGTCAGCTTCTTAATCAGAAGGATTAAGGATTAATTATTTCGGGGGTAGCTTTTAAACAAACTTTGTAACACGATTAGTTTTATCTTATTGAACAGTCATGATGCAGTGATAAAAAATATACGTATGTATAGGTATATGTGTTGTATTGTATGTTTTAAGTAAGACCAGTTTTTTGTCAGAAGCAGCATTTACTGGTTAATTTTGTAAATTCCCATACAAGATATGTATGTAAAATCGTATTTTAATTTAATCAGTTTAGGTGTAAGCTTATTTGATTAAAAATTGTTGTACTGTGTCAGATGCTTCCAAATGTCAATAAAATTCTAATTTCAAAGTATTTTTATTACATGCTTTTAGTAAAAAAACATACAACAATTAAACATGTTCCTTTCTTACAAGACTGACTAAAATTCTGGATTAGCATGTATGGGGTTATTATTAAGTAATGTTGGTATTAGATCAAACTGGTGGCAGTGCATAAGAGCCTTAGCCTAACCCGAAAACCCCCAAATACCTATTAAGTAATATAAATTAATGTAATATATATTATTAGTAAATAATATTGAATACATGTATATTATGCTTACATGCATTGATTAAAAGCAAAAGTTAATTACACGAGTGAGCACTGTGGGCCGCTAATGTGCTGTATAATGCAACCGAGTGCTCTAAAGTTGTGTCTCGTTTGTCCAACGAGCTAATTAACTTGTGCGACTTTTGATGAGTGGACGCTTAGCTCCACAATTTTCTCTAGTTTATCATCGTGGATGACGACAGACACTCATGTGGAAGTTGCCTAACTTGCCAATTGATGTGAACAGATGTGTGTAGTTTAAGATGATCTAAATGTACAGGAGCAAAGTAGGTCCATATTTTATTCGTGCTTCTTGCTGTAAATATTTTGTTATTGAAGTCATGGAGTGAAATAAAATGGCACATTTCCCACACGGCTTTGTCTCATGATTTTGCTAATTTGTGTCCATTCATCTATTCTATTCTTTGTTTTTTTTCTATGGGTTTTATGGAATATTTCATGTTTCGTCCGGCAAACAATTTGAATAATTTATTTGCCTATGGTGATTTTTTGACAAAAAAATTCATTCTCGTTTCATCATGGTGCCTGCGTGACTTTCTATATATAGCTCTAAAAATGTTCGTAGAGACTGTTATTCCATCAATATTGCCAGCCAGAATTGCATTTATAATTACAGTCATATAATAAGATAAGTAAAGGGATACAACAATATCTAATTAAACTCTGAATTCTTATAGGTATTTATGGTATTTGAAAATATTTTTGCTTTCTACGTACATTTTATTAACTATCAACAAACTACTTACCAACCAGTTGACAGAACTATCTGCGCATATGAAGCCTGAACAACAAAACCAGATTTTAAATTAGAATGAGCTTATAAACTACAGCTTTATTTGGAAACACAAATTCAAGGAATTGAAAGCTGTAGTTTATAAGTTCGTTCTAATTTAAAGCACGGCAAGTGCTTTGGTTGATGTCATTAAATAAAAAAGTGACAAGAAACCTGGAACTAGCTACTTGTAGATAAACACGATTAGTCATCGCTTTCAATTTGACAGGCACGAGTTCTAAGCCTGGCACTTGCAATCGAAACAAATTATATACGGACTATAGGCAAACTAATTAAAATTCAATTATTTCCTAAGACCACTGATGATGCGTACTTGTCAACAATAATCGAAACAGCGTTGTATGATCAGCCAAATTCCAATAAAATTAATTAAATTTTGTGTATGTCATTTCTTTCACTATAAAAAAAGCGTAGCTTTTTCAGCAACACTTACATATACATACTTTAAAAATTAGGAATTCTCCTAATGAAGGCAAAAGCGAATTTGCCGAAATACGTATAGGAATATATAAAAAATACGATCGAAATAAAAGTTAAAATCCTGAAAAACAATAATTAATAATAATATATTTGCATAAATTGCTTTTAGAATAATGCGATTGTAAAATCAAATTTAGCTACTTATGTAGAACATTTCGCAGTCTTATGCATGAGAGTAACCTAAATAATTTACCTTTAAAGTGTGTCCAAATTCATCGAATTTCTATGCATGACCAATACAACATGCAATATCTGCCAGCACTGTATGTCTCTCATACTATAGCATCTTTGTTGGCATTACTATCAAGAGCTATAGATATACAGCTGCTCTAATTCAAATCTAATTAACATCTTCCCTTTAAAGCCAAAGTCCCTCGTTCTTCGTTTTCATTAAATTCAAATTTGGATTTAAGTTTCGTGAGGTTTTCTAAACAAAATACGGAAAGTAAAACGTACAGAGGCAGCCAAAGCAGACAAAGCCATTTTAATGCTTTCGGCCAATGAAACAGAGCACATAAGAGCAGAGAAATGAAATGTGTTGAGCGTTCGATCCCGACTCACTACACCCCCTGTAGTCGATGTGTATTTGCGCTATTGCTTCAGGCAGTATTGTTTTTCTGGGTTATATTCCTGATTGTTGTGTTGAGTTGCGTTAAGTGTTTCGCTTTATTTTCAGTTTTTTTGAAGCGGTTTTGTTTTAAAAACAAAAATATTTGGTTTTAGGGACAACAGTGAAAATATGATTCTTGTTTCTTTTGTATTTGTGTGTACAAAACTTCGCAGTTTGCCGAGGCTGCGCTGCTTTAGTTTTTACTGCAACTAAACTCTTCTGTTGTCGTTTTGTTTAATTTTCATTAAACTTCGCTCTTCCTGAATTTAATTGCTTTGCTGTTCTTTTGCTTCAATGTTCCTCTTCTGCTACATTTTGCTACATATTACGAATGCAGACCTTTATACACCTAGGGTCTTCAGTATATGTCTTACATTTCTAAAGGTCTGATGAAGTATGTACCCATCCCTGGAATGACGAACCATATTGTTATATAGAGTAGAACATTCATGTACCGAAGCAAGTATTTACTTGCAAATGGCAAATACTTAAGTCAATGATAAACAGAATTTTTTAATACTGCATCTTCCTATGGAAGTGAATAATTAAGAATTATAGGAGTGTAAAGAAACGATTATCTTCTAATTTGATCGTTTTAAAATCATTAATTTTTTACATTGGTATGTGTGTTATTTTTATTAACCTTAGTATTAAAATTTCTCAACGTATCAGGGTATGGTAGCACTCATATCGTATGCAACATTTACAATTCATTTACTGATTTATGTCACAATCAGTTGCATTCATTAAATATATTAGGAAGTGGGCAGTTGATTCTTAAAACGTGTCTATATATTTCTGGTTACACTTGGGTTTTGGCAAGATGGGAACAGATTAATATAACAGATTAATATAGCTAAATACTAGAAAAAAGATAACATATCTTTTTAAGAAGTCGATCGGTTCAGATCTTGAATTTATTTTACCTAAATCAGCTGTTAAGCAGTTGTTTACCTAAAGTCCATCCCTAGAAACTTCATTAATACTTATGAGTTCGGATTAGTTATCTTAAAAACGTTTGTTAGTAAAATTGAGGTAAATGCCCTATGGGCGAAACCAAACCAAACTGTTGTTTTATTTTTTAATTTTATGGTATCGAATTGCACAGTGCTTTATTGAGCTTCATTGATACTAAATTTAAATTTAGTTTTGCATATAAAACACGCCGCCAAGAGAAAAGTTTTGCTGCGGCCCCTATCGAATTTTCCACTGCACACATTCCTTTTTGGAGCAGTTTTACTGCTCTCAAGTAGTGCTAAACATTTCGAAAATGAAAATCATGTTGTTAATAGAAATGAAGTTGTTTTGTTATTTACTATTTGGCTTCGTTCAGAAGTAGATTTCCATGAGACATCTTAAGAACCACCTTCTGTCACTTACGCACTCACTTTTCAACCCACGCAAATGTGCTGCGCTTTATTATAGTCGCGAATGCTCGATGTGAAATTTAATTAAGTTGTCCTGTGACACGATGAAGGTTGGTAAAGGATTCTATGCTGACAGCAACTTTGGTCGGTTTGAATGCATAAACTTCGGTTCAAATGAAGAGGGTTACGTTGTTATCGATTTTTATGCTCAAAATTTCAGTACACTATGTGACCACAACAAAAATAGATTTTTTCTAGTTTGCAAAATTATAAGAAATAAAATAGTTAATCTCCCTGTAATTTCTTTCTTTACAGTTTCTTTGGTAATTCTATTAATGCACTGCCCTGTACATTGCACAGCGCAACAACAAAAGTTTCGTGAAACTCCAGTTGACTTGCTAGTGACTGAAGGTACTGAGGCGATGATGCGTTGTGAAGTCTCTAATCAGGCAGGTGCCGTTCAGTGGACTAAAGATGGATTTGCTCTGGGGTTTTCAGCAGTGATACCTGGCTTTCCACGTTACTCAGTGCTTGGAGACCGCAAAAGGGGCATTTATAATTTACGTATATCAAATGTTAGTATTATGGATGATGCAGAATATCAATGTCAAGTGGGACCTGCACGCCTTAACTCAGCGATAAGGGCAAATGCTAAACTGACTGTGATTTGTAAGTATTTTACTGACATTCTTTGAATATTTATTTTTTTTCAAAATTAATTTTTGCTTTGACAATTAAATGAATTTGTTGCGATGTTTGTACACCCTTATTTTTACATCTGTTACTATCTACAATGTTTATTATGAATCAAATTAAAAGTGGAAAAACAATGGCGAATGCATCTTAAGTTGCTGTGTCGTTGACGTGAGTACAGAGAGATACACTTTTACTGGCTGCATCTGTTATAATCTGCACTCTTCAGAACAACTATCATCCTCAGCACTTTTTGAAATTAATTGTGTAATAAATACCATTTCTATGATGCACCTTTTAAGAATCCTTGAGATATGACTAAAACGTACAATCCTTGCCGTGTTGCATACAGAATTCGACGGTTCAGCTGCTTTCCATTCTTTCATTTTGTGCGATTAATTGTTGCTGCTGTCAGCCAGTTGCGATACAAAAATTATTCTGCACTTGAGCAGCAATTTGGGGCACATCAGCGTTATCCCCATTAACAACAACTGCAACACTGCAAAATTGCTCCTGGAAGTGAGTTCACATTTGCAATTTAAAGAAACGAAAATTATATAAAATTGATTGAATGGAAAACACTTCCCTGCAAATTCTTGTTATTGATAATGCAGGAAAAAATGTCGTTCTTATTCTTACTACTGATACGCAAATACGTTTGTAAATTGATTTAGTAGTCAACATTTTAACTAAATTGATTCTTTCATTATTACTTAATAATCTTAGTCCGTCCTAAGGTTAACATGAATATTAGGTTTTAAAAAGTACAAGAAATTATGGCTAAAAGCAACTATAGCTACAGTAATGAAAGAGTTGTGAATTTGTTAATGATTTTTATAGATTTCAATTTCAAAAATTTAAGTCTGGAAAAATTGGAACTATTATTCCCGATAATTACGATAAAATTTTTGTGCAATTTTTTGTTTTCACATTATTATAATCCTTACCAACCCTTTTTAAGGCTATATAGATGCCAAGGAGCTTCGGGTCCTTTTACAAATTAAAAGAAATTAATTAGTGAAAAGTGTGAAAAGTATTAAGTGAGTTCCTTAGTTCCCTTAATGCTTTTTAATCGAGTTCGAAACTATGGTAAAGCTCGACACATCCTTAATATAGCCATACTCTTGGCAGTTTGTGCATTGCGCTGGACCATTTCGTTTGTGGAAAGTAAAGGGTTGCAACATGGGTTGCAGGATTTTATCTTCACTAACAATATTTATAAATGGTATACCGCTAAACCTTTTCTCGCTTATGACATTTGTAAACTCGGTGGGTTCTATGTCTGACTCAATATCTTTATTAACGACAACAAGGCAGGCCTGTGCTTCTCTTCAGTTGGTATGTGTAGTAATTTTTCTTGCTATCATCGAAATGTATAGTTATGACCCTGATAATATTTTTGGTCTCAATTTGGATCTGGATTTCAAATTAATGTTTTATGCACTTTCACTTTAGGAATTGTTTTCTTATCGAAAATTGTTTTTTTTATGTTTTTATATTAATAACTTGCGGACCCGATAGACTTCGTTCTGTCAAACAGATTTGGAATGTGACAGTTTTTTGTTCCTACCTATTTTATAGTCGGGGCAAAAAAATCTCCTGAACAGAACAGTCACCCTGGTGTGTGGGGTTCAGCTCGGGGGACCAAAGTATCTTCGGGAATCTTCAAAGTATCAAGAACTTTGGCCACCCTTCTGGGATCCACTAAAAAACCGCGACTGGGATGTCTGCCAGGGGGTTTCAAACTAAGAGGCGAACTTAGGGTTCAAACCTGATTGGAAAATATTCTAAAGGGGCAGTGGAAACTTAAAGGTGATAAACATATAAAAAGTGGGTGGCTCGCTTGGATAGTTGAGATAATGATCTGCAAAGGAAATCATGGGGATTTTGAAGTAAATATGACCGACACGATTGACAGTTTCTATTTAACTAAATTTTGTTTACATTTCATTATTTAAGATTGCTTAAACTAATGCAAAACATATTAGATTATAACAGATTTAATAAACATACCTACAATAATCAATAACTTATTACAACACACAAACTCATCTATTCTGGTTATGTTCTTGTCTTCTTATATGTAAAAATGAATCAAAAAAGTGTTGGTAAGCGCATAACTCAACAACGGCTGGACCAATTTTGAATTAGTAATAAATCGATTTTTTTGATCGCACTTTGCCATTTGCGCAACACAATCCATTCGCTTCATATTTGTATTTCAATGCCTTACAATGTGAGCAAACCGAGTTCATTGATCCAATAGCAACACATTGATAGTTACTTTATCAATGGACACATCGTAACTGAAAGCAGCTCGATTCAAACTTGCGCGATTATAAGTTGTATGTCGCACTCGCGCTTCATGCGTTTGTGATATCCGAATTCTCTCAAGTTCATTTCGGCCGTCACGTTCTTGTGCAGTATGATTAGATCGGGAATTAGTTTGGTTTGTAGCATTTCGGGTTCTTCTACCTAAATTACTTCGTCTTACAGGAGGCATATCGAATATAAATTGTGTCACATGCACTAATTAGTGATCATAGTTAATTAAACACTTTGTACAAAACACGATATAAAAAGAAAACTCAGTAAAATATTAGTATTTTAATTATTTACAGTTCATATAGTAATAACAGTATTTAATTATATTTGAAATTTGAAATATTTGAAATACTAATGATGTTGCTTCGACAAAAGTGAGTGTTTGTAATGTAATATGAATTTTATTGAATATCAATAATTCGATTTTTTTTTCGCCGTAAAAACCATCCTTGGACTTAAACGAACATTTCAAAGAAAAGAATTGACCAAATTGGCCCACGCGTTGTTTAGTTATGCGCTTACAATTCATTTTTATATATAAGATAAAAGCAGTTCTTATAAAAATACTTATTATAAATAGTTTCAAGACTGTGAATTTGAAATTTCTCAATGACCGTCTTTAAAATACTTCCGCTCACTAAAAATGTTGAGGCAAGGAGACCTATCTCCTTAATTATGAGAAACTCTGAAAATGCCCTCCTAACAAACTACACAAAATATAGTTTGGGATGATCTCTCCAATATTTGGAAGGAACTACAACGGTGATAAGGACAACGTATCATTATGGCTTGTTGAATATATCCCAAAAACAAACAACCAGTCGACTAAACTACCTGTGTATAATGAAGCCTGAACAACAATAAAACAAAACCAGACCAATCCCGCCACCATTTCGTACCTCCTGCAAGGACAAAAATCCAAGCAAAATTAAAATTAAATAACACATGTAAATAGTTTGAAAATTTCTAGATGTTTTTAATATTAGGAATTCTGCTGATGAAGGCAAAAGCGAATTTGCCGAAACACGTATGGAGATACACACACATACCGTTCGAAATAAAAGTTTAAAATATTAAAAAAACAAAAACCGCCTTTAGAACTATAATTGCTTTTTTATACAAAAATGCAAATATGAATCATAAGTTTCATATTCGTATCTAATGAATAAGAGCACATGAATGCATTTTTTTCTGAAATTGAAACTTGTGAGTTTAGAGCTTTCACAAAAAAGATATCCACATTAACAAAGTAACCTTCAGAGACTTTTAGTTTTAATTATGTGCCTAACAAATCTGTAAGAAAAATATAAGTATTTGTACTTTTACCGATTTGATCGGCTTAGCATAGTATAAGTGAACAAGTACAATTACGCCAGGGGGGTTAGGCGGTTGAAGCGCGCGGTACGTAATGTTGTTTAGTTAATTATGCCGTGCGCTTCGATAATTAAAATATCCGAGAAAAAAAACGTGAATAAAACTAAAAATTATATCAAAAACATATAAAAGAACGTTGTGTGTGAGGAAAAGTTGCAATCTCAAAAGGAATTCAAGCTAGACAAAAACAAAGGCTGTGGCAAGTACAAAGCTGCTGCATGCAACATGTTTACGCAAGCCAACACTTGACACGCACACGCCCTCACATGCACACAGTACATTTTAATTGTATTTTCTCGGCTGGGGGCGGGCAGCTTTCCTTGCTTGATTCCTGTGCGAAATACAAGTGCCTGCTACTCCTTCTGCTGCAATCGTTCTTCTACTTATTCTATCTACCTTTGCCTATTATTGTCTGCTCTCTTCTCGCAACTTTGTAGGATAAAAGCAAAAAGTTTTAATGCTTCGCTAGAGGTTCCTCAGATGAAATACCTTGAAGCGCAGAAAATTTTAAATTTCGTGTTGAATTGCTTGTTTGCTTTGCTTTAGTTGAGGTTTCGTCCTGACTGTGAAGAAGAATATTGCGAGCAATTCACAAAGTCACACCGAAGACCAGAAGTTTCCTATTATTAATTTTAAAAAGTATGGAAGTTTAGCAAAAAATGCTTAAACTTGTCTAGGAAATTGTGCCACACTTCGAATAAATTAAAACTTGAAATTTCGAATTTTACGCAATGTAGATTAGATAAAAAAAATTTTAGTAGTTAACGACAAAATTGTCTAAACGGATGTCGACTATCATACCACACATTCTTAATTTAGGGTGCGATTCCATCAACATCACCTGAAAGTCTCTTTTTTGTAAGGCTTCTCTGTTAGAATTAGATGAAGTTAAATGTTAATGGTAGACTTTTGATACAATCAATTACTATATAATATCAAATTATTGTAGATAATTTCGGCTAAGTTTTAGACAGAAAATGGTATGTCGTACACAGTTATTCGTTTTGAAGTAAGCATAAGTAAACCACAATTGTGCAAGAAATCAAACTTTTACTTCAATAAATATATACGTTAATTTTAAGAGTGTCGAAAAATTGAGGATTGCTGGCATATAATTTAAAGAGGGCAAATCAAAGGATTTTAGAAGCCAGTTGAAGAAACTAAACACCTAAAAATTTTCTCGCACAGTGAAATCAAAACAGAACACCACATATCTTTCATACCACATAGCTTCACTTTCATCCTAAAATAAATTGATAATCATATAGTTACAGTAA